AGGCCAGTGCAGTTGGTTTATGGAAATTCTCAAAACAATTAGTGATAGCTAAGATCCATGTCTGGATCAAAGCTGAGAGCCTTACACTCGTGTCGCGAGCGAGTAGGCCGAATGGCTATACCATTATTTTGAGAATGTTCCTAGTGGTAAACTCGTACCTCCATTTGTGTGCATTGCGATAGTCAAGCCAAATTAGTTAAGTACAGAGTTAGATGTGGAATAGTAAGTCTAGACTTATAAGTCGTTGACATAATACCATTAAACAATTTCTCACAACAGGAGTTATCTCTATTGACTACGTGATGTCAAAAGATAACGTAGTGGCCACTAACTCGCTAACCCGAGGGTAAGCAAATGATTGTGGAGAAGTTGGAACGAAGAATGGGTCTAAAGCCCTTGGACTAAAAGTTCTATAGTGGATACCCAACCTAGGTGGCACCTAGGTTCAATGGGACAACTAAATTATGGAACGGAGCGTGTCACTTTGGGGGTCTCGGACTCCCTACCACTCCTCATTAGAAACAGTGACTCCCGCGCGAGGCTAGCACGTTGATGCTTTAATGATTCGAATGTCGGTTGACATGTGTGAGTATGCAGGATACTCGGAAAAGAATCATCTATGTGAGAGAGAAGTGAGGGTCGCTTCAAAGGAGAATTGATGGGCACAATTCTTCACAAACTCTTGCAGAACCAGGACGGTGACCCAGGACCAAAATGGGCACACTCATGATAACAGAGCATGGTTGGGAGGTTCCTGTGTGAGATATGTCATCGTCTACACAAACGGCAGTCGGTTCAAAGACATCGCGCTCTACCGTACAGCCAGTAGAGTAAACATGTCATCACAAGGGAAGGTTCAAAGAGTATAGTGATCCCTACCTATCCTATGCAGGGATCGACCGTTGCACACAGTTTGTTTCCGATTTCAAAATACCCTAAAAATCAATTTTTCATTCATGTGGGGGATTGTTGGAAAAAATAGCTTAAAATGACATATTAAGTGGCTATTTTGTGGTACAATTATCAGTGGGGTCCACTTTCGATTTGGGTTGGGTCAAAGTGGATTCGGGTTCTTCGTAGTGAGACGAAGAGATTGATATATTGTACGCTCAAAACGGATAATGGGTGAATGAGATATTGATTCTCAAAGTAGACCCATTTGAGTTGGAAAATGAAGGAAAAAAGTGAGCTTTTGTCCCACATTGGTTTGGGAAGAGGATTTGCCCCACTATTTATACAAGAGCTCTTTTTAAGCTTATTGAATTGCATAGCATAGAGGCTCTCTCTCGCGCGCAGGGGGGGGGGGTTGCAAATCAAATCCCAGAATGAGATTGAAATTGGATCAAGCCGGTACCTGATGGCTGAAACTTTCGTATATACATTAATAACTCCCGTTTGAAAAATAACCGACCGATTGAATATACATTAATTAATTAATTCGTATATACACTCCCGTTTGCCGTTCGCAGACGGTTTGCAAATATACAAGCAGTAATTGATGGACGGGCCCAGACGGTTAACAATTTGCAAATATACAAACAGTAATTGATGGACGGGCCCACTCGCAGGTCTAAGCCCCCACTCCATCTAAAATTACAAAGACTAATGCCTAAACAGGACGAGGTTCTCGGAGTTCCACGTGCCATCGATTTGTCTCCGAGGTTCTCGGAGTTCCACGTGCCATCGATTTGTCTCCCGGTCGTTGTCTCCAACCGGTAGGTTCCCGGCCACACGACGACCGTGATGATATTCGGACCTTCCCAATTTTGAGCTAGCTTTCCATCATCCAAAGGCTGACTTGCCTCTCGACGGCGTAGAACATAGTCTCCGACTTGAAAATACCGAGGGTTGACCCAAACATCCTTCGAGCTATTCACTCTCTTCTGATACTCGACCATACGCCGAGCGGCTAGCTCTCTTTTCTCCTCGACCCTGTCGAGATCCACAACCATGGAGTGTTCATTTGGTCGAGTTTTCGGCCAAAATTGTGCACAGTTTCGCTGCATGCACGAACCAGAAAGCCTTTGGCCGAGTTTTTTGCCAAAACTGTGCACAGTTTTGCTGCATGCACGAACCAGAAAGCCTTTGGCCGAAACTGTGCTGCCCGAGCACAATTTCGCTGCATGCACGAACCAGAAAGCATATCCCTGTTGTGACCGTTGGGTTCTAATTCATCAGCTGTTACTGGAGTTAATTTTAATTAATTCCAATTTTAACAGAAAGCATATCCCTGTTGTGACTGTTGGGTTCTAATTCATCAGCTGTTACTGGAGTTAATTTTAATTAATTCCAATTTTAATTTTTTGAATTAAAACTCATGTTAATGGTTGCTGTTACAGGAATTGTAGGGGTGCCCCTAAATGACATAATAAAGGCTATTCACCTCCTCAATCCCTATATAAAAAGGAGTTGAGCAGTAGCAGTTTTTTCACACACAAGAAGAAATATATTTTCAGCCTCAAAATACTTCTGCTTCTACTCCATTCTTAAAGCTGTGTTCTATCCGTGCTCTAGTTCGCCGGGTTCGTTCTTTTGGGTGCTCAAACGTCGAACCGTTGTACGTTTTATCCTGGGAAACCTAGGCCACAACGCACCTAGCACTTTTGGGAGGTGAAAAATAAGGTTTTAAGGAAAGAGAGGCATCTCGCCTAACTCGTACTTTCCTTTTTCTTCCTTCTCCTTCTTTCTTGTTTTGGATTATGCGTTTAAGCAAAAATCCGTTCTCCATATTTGGTTTTTGCCGTTGGATTGGATTATTAGTTCCAATTTCTGGTTGATATATATTGGTATATCTTTCTCGTAGATATACATACACACACACACACACACACACACACACACACACACACACACACATATATATATATATATATATATATATATATATATATATATAGAATTACATTCAGGTAAAAACACATCTTAAAATAAAAACCTGTGGACAATTTGACATCGTTGGATGGTGGTATTGGACGATCCTGATTTTTTCCCCCTACGCGTTGTGTGCATGTAAGTATGTTAATGTGTGCACAAGCTTTGATGGATGGTTGTGATTTTTCCTCCTACGCGTGTGTGCATGTAAGTATGTTAATGTGTGCACGTGCTAATTCCAGAAATTGTTGGCAGTACGCGTTGTGTGCATGTAAGTATGTTAATGTGTGCACGAGCTCATGTTTGTATTTTAAGGAGAATTTGTATTTTAAGTTGGTTTGTATTTGAATGCAACCCTATATATATATATATATATATATATATATATATATATATATATATATATATTCTGCATTTGAATTATTATATATTATGTCTCAATCATCTTTTATATATATATATATATATATATATATATATATATATATATATACACTGCCGTCTACTCCAATATAATGCATGTGTGTAATGTTTGCTTGTATTTGAATTATTATAGATTATGTCTCAATCATCTTTCTTCAGCAGTGTATATATATTAAGACATAATATATATAATAATTCAGATACAAGCAAACATTATACACATGCATTATATTGGAGTAGACGGTTGGCAGGGGTGAATCAAAATTTTTTTAATGAGGGCGAAATATTTAAGCAAAAAAGATAATTTGAAAAAAAATCAAACACTTAAAATAATTTGAATAGAAAACACATTATAAATTATTAATATAAAGGAAATTAAAGTTATATATATATATATATATATATATATATATATATATATATATATATATATATATTACATGTTTTCGTATAACTAAAAAAATAGATAAATGTAAACAAAAGATGAGTTAGACTAGTTGGTAGAATACGTTTTAGACCCTAGGAAAGGTAGGGTATTGAATTCTATTGTTTCAACATAGTTTCTTATTGCTTTTTTTAATATTGATAGTGATATTTTCACACACACACAAAATATATATATATATATATATATATATATATATATATATATATATATATATATAAAGACTATATATAAGGTGGGAGTGGGGGTGGAGGTGGGGGAGGGAGCAGCTGCCGCCACTTTAGCTCCGCCCCTAACGACTAGCCACAAGCTGCTAGTTGCCTCCACCGTAGCCATTGCATACCTCTCACTAATCCAACTCTCCCTTGAGAAAAGGGAGTTGGAAGAAGACGTGAATCTCATATGCTTAGTTAATTGATTTGATTGGTTTAAGTTGCCATCAGAATGGAGTTCAAACTAAATGAAAGTTCAATATCCACGAGAGTGTCATTAGCACCTACTATATATAGCGTCTCTTTAGTTCCCTTATTACACGGTATTAATCCTAGAAACACTATAACATCTATACAAATGTAACTTGGTCCAAGTCACACCTTTTAAATTCGATTTTTAATTAACTCAATTATTGTTCATTTTGTTGATTTGCTTTAATTTACATGAATCGTACTCTTAAGCTTAATGACTCACTATTCAACTACTCCACTTCAGCGTACTTTTTGATAAGGACATCCCTTGATTCCCTTACCACTTCTCACACAACTTTCAATAACTCTAGCATTAATAAGCACTTAGCATGACAAGCTAATTAAGGTTGAGTTTTGTTTGGGAAGATATATTAAAGTTGGGTGGACCATATAGTCCATTAATTTGTATACATAAAATAAATTTTTTAAATACCGAACATACATTAATTTGTATACTATCAAATAATGTGCATTCAATACACAAATAATGTACTTTAGTATATTAAAAATGAACGTTATATTCACGAAAAGTCAATTATCTGAGTACATTATTTTGTATAATGCATAATCAGTATACAAATAATATATTTTTAGTATATTAAAATGTATTTTTTATGGTCTACACAACATTATATGAACTATATAATAATTTGCCTTTCATCCTCCTATGAACATTAAAATTAGGCGGCACGAGGAGCTCGAGCGGGATGGGCGATAGATGTGTATAAAAAGGGGGAGAATGTGGGGAGTTTCAGCACCACTTACTACTTGAGAAATCCATAGAAAAAAGAATTGAAGATGAGTGACACAGGCATTGCTGAAAGATGGAAGGAGCTAAGTGGGAGTGAGAACTGGAAAGATCTTCTGGAGCCTAATTTGGATTCGGATCTCCGCCGCTATCTCATTCACTACGGAACCATGATTGAACCCGCCGGCGATGCTTTCATCAACGAACCAGCTTCCAAAAATGTGGGGTTACCGCGATACGCCAGGAAAACCCTCTTTGAAAATACAGGACTTGTGAAGGGAAACCCTTTAACGTATGAATAAATACTAGCTTTAATTTGATTCATTCTTGGTTCTAGTACTTATATATATATGTTCTTTACTGTTTCAGATATGAAGTGACCAAATACTTTTATGCACCATCTCTATTAAAACTCGAGTTCGGAGCTTTAGAGTATACTTTGGCGGAATCAAACTGGATTGGATATGTTGCTGTGGCCACGAATGAAGGAAAAGTAGGTTTGGGACGAAGAGACATTTTGGTTGTTTGGAGGGGAACAATCCGACCCTTAGAGTGGGTTGATAATTTCATATTCCTTTTTGTTAATGCCCCATTAATCTTTGGCCAAAACTCTGATCCTCTGGTGCATATGGGTTGGTACTATATGTACACCACCGCCATTCAAGGTTCTAAACTCAATGCAACAAGTGCTAGAGATCAGGTACATATATATATATATATATATATATATATATATATATATATATATATAAATAGATTGCTAGCTAGCTTAGCTTCTCAAAGCAAATTTTTCAATTACTTTTTGAGAAAAGAAATTATACCAAACCTAACAGCTAATTTACCAAATTTCTTTTTACAATCAGCTAATGTTATCAACTAGTTATACTCTCTAATTAACACAATCAGCTAGCAGCTAACAACTATCAGTTAACAGCCATTTACCGAATAGGGCCAAAGCCTTCACAAATTTAATAACCCGAGGTTTGACATTTTTCCATTGTTATATGGAGGACCACTGTGAACCCTGATCGAATACATATAATTTGACTTCATAATGTACAGAATTCATGTTAATGTTTACTTTAGTTTTCTTAAATTTGGCTATGTTATATATATATAGGTTCGTGAAGAAGTTGCAAGACTTGTTGAGTTCTACAAGGACGAGGAAATTAGCATAACCGTGACAGGACACAGCTTGGGTTCATCCCTGGCAACACTGAATGCAACCGACATGGCTGTCAATCCATTCAGACCGGACATTCCTGTCACTGCTTTCTTGTATGCAAGCCCCAAAGTAGGGGATGAGAATTTTAAAAAAGCCTTCTCCAATCAACAAAACCTTCGAGCCTTGCGAATCTCCGACCCCAATGATCCTGTTCCAAAAGTTCCGCCGATTGGATGGAAAGTTGGTGAGACCATAGATTCAAAAATAGATTACGCAGATGTGGGGGTGGGTTTGGTGATTGAATCTAAGAATTCCTACTATTTGAAGCCTGAGGACGACCTCTCCTATCACGACTTGATGCTTTATTTGCATGGAATTGATTTATACCTGACGGATCAAAGAACGTATGAGCGTCAGGGAGACTTTGATCTTGCCAAAGTTAATAAGTATCAGGGTGCTTTGAAAGATGAGTATATGAACGAGAATCATATACCGATAGCATGGTTTAACATAAAGGATAAAGGAATGGTTCAGCAGGAAGACGGGAAGTATAGACTTGACGATCATGAGCCGGATGATGATAAGGTGTTTTAAACAGAAACAGTTTGGTGCATGCATGTAATATGTGTGTTTGAATAAAACTAAGTCTTCTGTAGCTTCATGAAGACCTTTGTATAATTATTCAGTGTGGTTTGAATAAAATTGGAGCTGAGGCAACTAGCCGCTTGTGGCTAGCTGTCTAGTCCAATGCATGTATATATGCAAGGTTTGCTAGCTTGTATTTGAATTATCATGTTTCAATCATCTCAGCTCTTTCGATCAGCAATATATATATAATAATAAAAGACTTGATCGAATTGCTTTTACTTCTTAATTTGTTCCTCAAATCTGGGGTTGTACTGTTTACTTTCAACAATCTTCTTAATTTCTAGCTGTTTTTGCCCATTCCTGACTTTCAACATAAACACCTGCCATGGATCTTATGTAATATGTAAGACGAATATTGATGTTTGGTAACTGAGTTATGTATGACCCAATAATAAGATTAAAGGTTTTTAAAATACAAAAATAAAAAAATCAATTCCCAAAACAATTGATCCTAAGTGTACTGTTACGATGAAATGAGTAGGTAATGCAGTGAGGAAGTAGATGAAGTGAAGAAAGATGAGTGAGGAGGCAACTAAAGTAGGTAATTGAGAATGGTTTTGGTGAAAGTATTTTGTATGTTTGGTAAGTATGGTAGAATTGAAATGCTTATCAATATTGATGTTTCGTTATATGTATCATACTATAGTCGAATTAAAGGTTTTAAAAATACAAAAATAAAAAATTAAGACTGTTAGGAATATAGCGGAATAATGCGGAAGCAAAGAATCCAAAATTGAGAATTATAGAAGTTGAATAATAGGAAAATATATAAAATGACAAAATAATTAGGAATAAAAGAAAATATATATATTATCACTAGACCAGGACTATGTGGTCTAATGGTACCCGGGTTGGACTTCCATTTGGAAGATTATGAGTTCGAGCCTCATTGGAGGTGTTATTGGTTCTTTGTGTTTCAGTAGGTAGGTTGAGAAAGTATATGAACAGATACTACAATGTAATAGAACCAGTAGCAAATATATATATATATATATGTTATCTTATTAGAACCAGTAGCAAATATATAGAGAGAGGTGTGGTTTTTCGCGCACATTCTCCTACCCAGCGAACTACAAGGGTAAACTCGTCATAAAACACCGGAATAGGGAAATATATATAGAGAGAGAGGTGTGGTCATTAGATTAGATTATTTTCGCGCACATTCTCCTACCCAGCGAACTACAAGGGTAAACTCGTCATAAAACACCGGAATAGGGAAAATCACATTGTTGTGTGTTTTATTACACTATTGGTGTATGTTGTCAACACTGTTGGTGTATTCTAGAACCCGGCCGCTATAAATGGCCATTGTAATTACCATAACACGGGAATACACCATTGGTGTGTTTCACTGTGGTGTGTTTTATTACACTATTGGTGTATGTTGTCAACACTGTTGGTGTATTCTGGAGCTCGCCCGCTATAAATGGCCATTGTAATTACCATAACACCCCTACTTACCAAAACGCGCGAAAATCCTAAGAATTACCACTGCCGTTAGATTAAACTGATTCAACGACACAGATACGACCACACGACCACACCTAATGACATGACCACATATGAGCATTTTTCTATATATATATATATATATATATATATATATATATATATATATATATATATATATATATATATATATATATATATGTCAAAGTAGGGACAAAAGAAAGAGAAAGAATTTGATGTAAGAATGAGAAATTTAATAGGAGTATCTTACAAATCAAAATGGGCAAACTATTTATACACTAGGAACAAGCATAGGATGCGGCAAACAAATGGAGAACTGCAAAGTTTGGAGAGGATGTGTAAGAGAGGACCATGCTGCGCGTATGTGTTGTGTATGACATTGTCTTATTGAATTTGAACCACAAAAATATTATGCATGGTTTAACAATCTCCACCTTGGATCAAATTCATGGTGGAAATTAACAATCGGAACAGCCGACTAAATTCAAGCACTGTTTTAACTTAGTGATAGGTAGAGGCTTGGTGAGCATATCTGCTGGATTCTCCAATGTATGAATCTTCTGAACGGTTATATCTCCTGCAGTTATAACATCTCGATAAAATGGTATCTGACATCAATGTGTTTGGTTTTGGCATGATATGTATCATTTTTGGTGAGATGGATAGCACTTTGACTATCTGAGAACACAACGGTCTGACCTTGTGAAACACCAAGTTCCATAACCAAACCTCGTAGCCAAGTAGCTTCTTTGACACCCTCTGTGGCTGCAATATATTCCGCCTCAGTCGTAGATAACGCAGCAATAGACTGAAGCGTAGCTTTCCAACTGATAGCACAATTACAAAGAGTGAAAATATAACTGGAAAGCGATCGACGTCTGTCAAGATCACCACCATAATCAGAATCTACAAAGCCCACAATGTCAGTAGATGCAGAAGAATTTCGATCAAAAACCAAGCCTAAAGGCGAAGTACCCTTTAGGTACCGTAGAATCCATTTAACGCCGTTCCAATGTTCCTTACCAGGGTTATGCATGTAGCGACTCACAACACTTACAGCATGAGCCAAATCAGGTCTAGTGCATACCATAGCATACATAAGACTTCCAACAGCACTAGAGTAAGGAACTTTTGACATATAGGCCACATCAACATCAGACTTAGGGCATGAACCAGAGGATACCTTAAAATGTGCACCAAGTGGAGTAGACACAGGTTTATAATTGGACATATTGAATCGATCAAGCACCTTCTCAACATACTTTTTCTGGGATAGATAAAGTTTACCCGCTTAACAATCCCTGTGAATCTCCATGCCGAGAATCTTCTTTGCTGCACCAAGGTCTTTCATCTCAAACTCATTGCTTAGTTGAGACTTCAAGTCATCAACCAGAGACATATCAGGGGAATCAATGAGCATATCATCAACATATAGCAGCAAATAGACAAAAGACCCATTAGAAAATTCTTTAAAATAGACACAGCTATCATACTGGCTTCTTGAGAATCCTTGCCCCAACATACACGCATCAAACCGCTTATACCATTGCCTTGGAGCTTGCTTTAGCCCATAAAGAGATTTTTGTAGATGGCAGACACAATGTTCCTTCCCAGGAACTTCAAATCCCTCAAGTTGGTACATGTAAAGTTCTTCATCAAGCTCTCCATGTAGGAAAGCAGTCTTTACATCAAGTTGCTCCAGCTCCAAATCAAAAAGAGCAACAAAAGCAAGTAGAACACGTATAGAAGTATGACGAACAACTGGAGAAAAAATCTCATTAAAGTCAATACATTCATGTTGATCAAAACCTCGAACAACTAACCGTGCCTTCCACCGTGCTTTCTCAACCCCAGGAATGCCTTCTTTCTTTTTGTAAATCCACTTATAGCTCAATGGGCGTTTACCTTTCGGCAACTCTACCAGCTCCCAAGTCTCATTCTTATGGTGACTTTCCATCTCTTCTTGCATAGCAACCAGCCACTTGGACGAGTTGGCACAGGAAATAGCCTCAGAATAGCAGGATGGATCACCATCAACCTCTTGTGCAACTGAAAGCGCATAAGCAACCAAGTGGGTTTCATCGTCACTAGCGTACCTAGCAGGTTTTTTAATTGTCCTCCTAGGCCGATCTTGGGCAATAGAGTACTCTCGCTGTGGCTCGACGAGAGGTGCGGTACTTGTAGATGCATCATCTTTAGTATTACCATTAGTGGTAGTAATACTATCATTAGGCCTGAACTCAAACTCCACCTTATCACCAGTACTCTACATCTCACCTGTACTGGAATCTTTTCCAGAAGAAAGTAGTGCATTTTCGTCAAAAGTGATATCTCGACTCAGAATGATTTTCTGAGAATCAGGAGACCATAGACGATACCCTTTTGACTCAGAGGCATAACCAAGGAAAATGCATTTGACAGCTCTCGGGTTTAATTTGCCCGTACTGGAATGAGCATAAGCAGGACATCCAAAAACTCTTAAGATAGAGTAGTCAACAGGATTACCTGACCAAACTTCCTCTGGAATTTTGAAATCAAGGGATGAGTGTGGAGATCTATTTACCAAATAGCAAGTAGTAGAAAGGACCTCGGCCCAAAAATCACGCCGTTTCCATAACCCAGCATTAGAGAGCATACAACGAGCTCTTTCCAATAGTGTCCTGTTTAAACGCTCGGCAACACCATTTTGCTAGGGTTTACCAGGCAAGGTCTTGTGCCTGGCGGTTCCATTTGCCGCACAGAAGTCATTGAAATCTGACTCACATAATTCCAAGCCATTGTCTGTCCTGAGCTTCTTGACCTTTTTTCATGTCTGAGTCTCAACAAGTATTTTCCACTTTTTGAAAATAGGAAAAGCCTGATTTTTGTGTTTCAAGAAATAGACCCAAACCTTATGGGAAAAGTAATCAATAATAGACATGAAATATCTACAGCCTCCCATAGACTGGAATTTAGTCGGTCCCCATAAATCGGAATGTATATATTCCAATACATCTTTGGTACAGTGTGTAGGAGTAGAGAAACTGACCCTCTTTTGTTTCCCAAAAACACAATGCTAAAAAAATTGTAATTTACCCGTACCTGAATCACCAAGGAGACCTTTCTTGGTCAGGAGATGCATGTCTTTCTCACTCATATGCCCCAGATGCATATGCCATAGTTGAGTGAGATCTGCATCAGACATCGATGAGGATATCGCTACTGAACTTGTCATAGTACTGCCATGCAACACGTACAAGCTTCCAGATCGAGAAGCTTTCATGAGAACAAGAGAGCCTTTTATGACTTTTAGAACTCCACCTTCAGCTATGTACTTGCACCCCAGAGATTCCAAGGTGCCCAAGGATATCAGATTGCGTTTCAAATCAGGAATATACCGAACATTGGTAAGAGTCCTGACAACATTATCATGAGTTTTAATCTGAACACTTCCAATTCCACTAACCTTGCATTGGGTATCATTACCCATCAAGACAACTCCACCATCAACTGGTTCCAAAGAGACGAACCAGTCTTTGTGGGGACACATGTTGAATGTACAACCAGAGTCCAGAATCCACTCAGTTTTGCTCCGTTTGTCACCGGAGCTAACAGATAACATAACATCGCCTTCTGAATCACTTTCAACAACACTAGCTTCAGCAGACTTCTTTTCTCTTTCTTGCTTGTTTTTCAACTTGAAGCATTCAGTCACATCGTGACCCTGCTTCTTGCAGTACTTACAGGATTTGTTGGACTTACATCCTTTGGA